TCTAACTTTTTCTCTTGTAACCAAAGTTTTCACCGTCGAATTAAGACAGTAATAGTGTGGAATACTCACGTATCTAATTTGTTTGCAAAACTATTTATTTTATTTTATTTAAACCAAGCCGTATAGCTGCTTCGGAGTTTTCTATAGCTTTGAACATTATTTTCTAAAAAAAACTTTTTTTTTTGTTTTCAATATTACTGGTTAATTAAATACAGAATGACAACGTTTACACAAAGGGAACTTTTGCAATCGGCATGCTTTCTTGACGCTTATATAGCGACCATCTACATACTCTAATATTTCATCTAAATTTCTATATCGTCTCTTTTATTACTCGTATCTGTTTTCGTTATTTTACGTGATATTCTATTTTCTCCTTCATGAATACAATCAAAAATGTACTTAATATTTTGAATAGATGCACAATACTTAACATAATGTGGCAATTATATTTGGTTAACAAAAATGGATTGTACAGTACTACCATTGAATTATTAACTAAAATTTTTTCATTTATATTTTGGATTCTATATATGTGATTATAACATCTATTGTCACTTTTTTTGTAATTTAGGTATTCATTTTTGCAAAAACAGTATCATTAGTAAACTTTTTTGGAAATTTTTTTGTGCAAATTTTTTGATGACTGATAAGACATGGAGTATCTTTACCATGAGGTCCATAGAGCATATATTTAATAACTAATTTTTGTATTCGTGAATCAAGTGAAATTTCCGCTTTAAAATATTTATCTATGTCTGTAGTAGTAAATAATTTATTGGTCATATGCAATGTTGCAATAATATGAGAGTGAGATAATCGTCTTTTTTGTAATTCATCGGTATAAACGTAAGCAATAACTTTTCCAAAAATATTGTGTTTAGTTATACCGTCTAAAATTAACGTTAATTGTGTATGAAATAATCCAACAGTTTTATTCGGTATATTATTTGAAGTGGTACCTTCAGGAAAGTTTTTCGAAATTCGTCTTATTTCTAACCATTTATGGTTACATGTAACGGTAGTCAATAGATCAGGTCATCAAAACTTTCGCATTATTCCCATTGGATCTTGATTATGTTATTCTATTGCTTTCTATCGTAATATATGTATGCAAAAAATTGTTGCGTTAATTTTTCAGCATAGAGTATATAATTTTCCAGTATGAGACTTAAAATTTTACTATTTGGTCGATAGAAAGTTTGATGTAAGTAATATTGAAGCAACGTAAGATTTTCTGCTTTTGTTACAAATTTTTGTCTATCACATGTACTACATCCTACATCTTCTACTGGAAATAGTTAAGGAAATAGCATATTATCAACATGCTATATTTAGCATACAGAATCGATAATGCAACCTATAGAGGTGTTGACAAATTGGGATAATAATATTCATATAAACATTTTTGTAGTAATGTTGAACAATACTCGTGAAAGCTTGACACCTCATAAACTTAAATTAAAAATACGTACTACAGTAATGTTAATTCCATAGTTGAAATAAAATAGACGGCTTATAGAACGGTACACGATTGCGAATTACTAAATTGTTGAAGTGTAACGTAGAAGAAAAAATAGATACGGGAGAAGAAATAAGTAATAAAGTTTTTATTTTCAGAATTACATTAAATACTGGAAATACTTCATCATTACCTTTAATTTTACATAGAAAACAATTTCCATTAGTTGAGGCATTTGCTACGACTATGGACAAGTCTCAAGGTCAAAGTTTTAATAATGTGGGATTATACTTGAAAATACCTCTATTTTCTCATGGTCAATTGTACGTGGTTTTATCGCGATGCAAAAATAAAAATGGAATTGTTGTTCAAATCAATAGAGAAAACATTTTAAATATAAAAATTTTAGGTTTCAAAGAAATGTTTGATTATAATTAATAATGTTTCTAATAATAACTACATAATTTTAATATTTTCTTATGTATGGAAAAAATTTACTACTTAATAATACATTCCATGCATGTTTATTGTGATCATCTATTGTACCAATTTAAACATTAATTTACAACAGATTAGGCTTCTTATGGCTTCATAAGTTGACTCATAAAATGAGTCATGTTTATGCGAAACTTTTACGGTATGTATTAATTATAAACTAAATGCAATTTATGGTTTGCGCAACGACCCCCTATAAATCGATTATGACATTAAATTTTTTCTTGCCGGGCAGATAAATCATAGCGGTAAGAAAGTTTTGTGTTAAAGCGATTTAGTAATGAAGCAGGTTAAAAATAAAAGATTAATATATATATACGACATGAACACGTCTGTATACACATTAAGGTCCAAGAAAGACGGTATGATCCTTGTCAGGTTCCCTAAAAGTAGTGTGGGGGAAGGGAGGTGGTGTAGGGTCACCAAAAAAATACGTGCGGTGCTGGTAGAAGTCTGTGGGGGGCTGCGAGAGGGTCTTGAAAAAAAACTGTGATGTGTCAAAATAAGACAGAAAATGACGGGTTTTTACCTTATTTTGTGGTGGACAATGGTGGTCTGTGGGAGGGGCTGTTGGGGGGTTGTTGGAATGCTCTACCGAGTTTACCATTATATATATATGTGTGTGTGTGTGTGTGTGTGTGTGTGTGTGTGTGTGTTGAGACGGTGACGTATGTGGACAATTATATGCATGTTTGGTGGGTAATCATGCGGACGTCAGCAGTATTCCACCGTGTTATTAAAAAATACGTGCATAAAGCATGTGTGTGTGTATAAGCTTGGGTGAATGGGTATAAGTGTGTTTAATAAGGTGACTTATGCGAACAATCAAGCACATAAGGGGTGGACGGTGGACAAATTAGGAATTATGCGGACGTTTGCACAATTCTACCGTATTATTTACATCTGGCTTAATATATATATATATATATCTCAGAGTCCTTAGGTGACAGTATTTTGAGTCGCCCTATTGTTAAANTATATATATATTATGCAGATTATCATTAAGCATTGTGAGCTTAACATTTTCATTGAGTTACGTAACTGTTAGGTGCGATCACTTATAAGAGTAGTATTGAGGTACAAGGATGGACTTTACGCATTTTGGTAGATGTGCACTTTAGGACACCCGTTGTGAAGTTAGCTACAAGTGTCGCAGTGCTACCAACATACTGTAACGAGGGAAATTTATAATTATGAATGCGAGAAATTTAAATTTTTTAAATTAATATATATGTGGTTAGAAATTTTTCCGTCGATATTTTATAGGAGTTGTTTATTTTTTTACAGCGTGGCCGAGCGAGCGAAGCTCGCGAGGGTGCTATTTTCGCACATTGAAAGAATATATAGTTTATTAATAAAATTTAAAATACCCGCCATTTATTCAGTTGTTTTTAATGCAGAAGACTTTTTGCTGTTAAGGTTTCAAGTTGCAGCTTGTCATTTTCATTTCGTTTGGCTAGCGTTTGTGTCGGTTGGTTTTGTTTGTCAGATTTCGTGTTTTATTACAGTTCTTTTGCGTGAATCATTTCTTGAGGAGTTGAAACAAAGTCCTTTTTAAGTAATTGAAGAATGGCAGAGTCGTGAATTACTTGCTAAAACAGCAACTTGATCGCATTGTGGCACTGAGATGTACATGGGTGAAAAAAGTGATTTGATTGATAAATATATGTGGAGATGCAGAAAATGCAAAGCCTTGAAATCGTTGCGTAAAAACTCCTGGTTCAAAGGTTCGCATTTAAGTATCCCTAAAATTATTTAGCATACATACATGTGGTCTTATCAGTTCTCTCAACAACATATCATGAGAGAACTTGAAATATCAAATAATACGTGTATTGATTGGTGTAATTTCTGTCGTGAAGTGTGTGTTGAAATTTTCTCAACTCTTAGTGTAACATAACAAATTGGATGTATAGGGAAAATTGTTGGGATTGACGAATCTACGCTTGGCAAGTGTAAATACAACCGAGATAAACGAGTTGAAGGGCAATGGGTTTTTGGTGGCGTGGAAAGAGGTAGCAACAAGTGTCTTCTTTTTAGTGTAACTGATAGATCAGTAAGTACCTTGGTGCCCCTCATTAAAAAATATATTAAGCCTGTTACTACAATCATAAGTGATTGTTGAAAAGCTTATGATTGTTTGGGCAAAGAGAGTTACCAGCATTTGACTGTTAATCATTCAGTTACATTTAAATATGAAAACACTAAAGCTTGTATTATTACGATCGAAGGAATGTGGACAGCTGTGAAATAGATGTTTCCAACAGCTAACAGAAGTAAGAATCATTGTGATTCTTACTTTGCTGTTTTTATGTACTTCCGAGTGAGAGCAGAAGCTTCATGTATCTTTGATCAGTTTTTACGAGACGTTGCTTCTGTTTATTCGCCACATGACTCTTAAGATCTCAACATATTAGCTTGCGAATGTTTATCAATCAGTCATTTTCAGGACTAACAAAAAAATCTAAAAATAATTTTTTTTCAGTCAAGAAACTCAAATTTACCGCGTTTACAATTTTTAATTTCCCGTGCCATGATATATTGGCAACACTGCAGGAACTGTAGCTAACTTTTCAAAGGGTGTCCTAAACTGCACTTTAACCCGCATTTTAAATCCATTGAACAAAGATAATCACCAATTTTTTTTTTTTTTCTTAGTCATATTTATGCAGAGGCACATTTTTTTACGTTTAATTTTCAAAAACTTCAGAATGATTAAGTATTTGTCAAAATTTTATACTTCCAACGAGCGAGACAATCGCAAATATGTGAAACCTTATTTAGACCTTAGAAAATTCAACTATCGTAAAAATGTTGTTTTTAGAAATTTCTTCACTAGACTCTGCCCTTGTATTATGTATTAAAGCAAAAACTAAAATATTTGTAATATCTTTAACTCTAGGTAACATTAATTTTTTTGTCTACATAATATTTTTTCTCTAAACCAACGTTTTCGTTCGTATTAAATAATTTAATAATCTAAATATCCAGCAATTTATTGTACTTTTTGATTTTTCAACTATCTATTTTTGTTATATTCTAGTTTTATGTGGACCACCTGGATCGGGAAAAACGATGACTCTTTTTTCTGCACTTAGAGCTCTACCTGACATGGAAGTTGTTGGATTAAACTTCTCATCTGCTACTACCCCAGAACTTTTATTAAAAACATTCGATCATTATTGCGAGTATCGCAAAACACCAAATGGAGTTGTTCTGTCACCAGTGCAACTGGGTAAGTGGTTAGTGCTGTTTTGTGATGAAATTAATTTACCTGAAATGGATCACTATGGTACTCAGCGAGTTATCTCATTTTTGAGACAACTTGTTGAGCACAAAGGTTTCTTCAGAACGAGTGATCAAGCATGGGTATCAATAGAACGTATTCAGTTTGTTGGAGCTTGTAATCCACCAACGGACCCTGGAAGAAAACCATTAAGTTATAGATTTCTGCGGCATGTTCCGGTTATATATGTTGATTATCCAGGAGAAGTTTCTTTGAAACAAATTTACGGTACATTTGCTCGAGCAATGTTAAGATTAATTCCGTTACTAAAAGGATATGCAGAACCATTAACAAACGCAATGGTAGAATTTTATCTTACATCGCAAGAACGTTTCACTCAAGATATGCAACCTCATTATGTCTACTCACCTCGAGAAATGACAAGATGGGTGAGGGGTATTTGTGAAGCTATTAGACCTCTTGATGCACTCTCCATTGAAGGTTTAGTACGTCTTTGGGCCCACGAAGCACTCAGACTATTTCAGGATCGATTAGTAGAAGATTCTGAAAGAGCTTGGACCAATAAGACTATTGATATTGTCGCATTGAAACACTTTCCCAGTATAAATAAGGAAATATCTTTAGAACGGCCAATATTGTATAGTAATTGGCTTTCTAAAGACTACGTTCCTGTTAGTAGACCAGAACTACGTGATTATGTAAGAGCTAGACTTAAAGTGTTTTACGAAGAAGAGCTGGATGTTCCATTAGTACTATTTGATGAAGTATTAGAACATGTCTTGAGAATTGATAGAATTTTCCGACAACCTCAAGGTCATTTACTACTTATTGGTGTTTCTGGTGCAGGAAAAACAACGCTGTCTCGGTTTGTAGCATGGATGAATGGATTATCCGTGTTCCAAATCAAGGTAAATTTTTTTCATGAATTATAAATTAAAATTTTTATGCTTAGTGACAAATTTAAAGATGTTGTTACAAGACTGAAGTTTAATGTTGTCACCTTCAAGTGTTATCTATGATAATAGTAAACCATTTCTGTCAAAGTAATAATAGTCACGCAATTAAAGCCTTGTTATTCATTTTGTGATCTGTGAAGACTGATCGTGTTATTTCTTTGCAGAGGCCTTAAACAATGAATGAGTCGTGATAATATTAAAAATTTAAAAAGTTTGTACTGTTATTCGAGAAAGATTTATTAGTAATTGATCATTTATTAATTTAATAGTCCATTTGTTTAAAGTTGTATAGATAAACATTCACATAAATTGACGAAAATGTAAAATTTATAAAAGTAAAACATGAGATGGAAGTTTGCAAAAACAAAATAATAAGAAAAAAATTGTATGTTTACTTTTATTTTCTCTGAGCAGAGGGAAATGCTTATTGAATGTAAAAACATATAATTATTTGTTACTCATTCTAAAAACAGTCTTATTAAGTCGAATTTTGTGTAGTGCATCTAACGTTACTAGTTTGATTAACCGTTCAATATATCAGAGTTACTGAATTAATTCACTATAATTTCGACTGTATATAAAGTTTACATGTTATTACATTACTTCTGTCATACTAACATACACACCCACCCACCCATTCACTTACACACACACACACACGTACATGTAAATGTACATATACATATATACACATCCCCCTATATTATACAGTTCTTTTGGCGGGGCGGATCACAATCCTCTCCTATACGATGTACTGCCCACACGATTTTTACCCCACAAAATAAGAGAAAATCTCCTTTTTTTCTCTTATATTTTAACCCGGTACTTTTTTAGAGTACCCTAAACGATTTTTTCAGGCATAAAAAAAACCTCCCTCACGCAAAACTTCCCTAGAATACAAAAGGGCTCCAAGCGAAGAAAAAAAAAATTTGGAGGCCTGCTTGCTCTCTAAGGTGTTGAACGAGGGGCATCTAGGCGTAGCTCGACGTATTCTGAGTCAGTTTCCTGACGACTAAAATTATAATTATTTGAAGCATTTGAAGTTATTCATCCAGTTCACTCTCTAGTGACTATAGGCGTAGTTAAAACTTTTGTGAGTCCTAAAAGCTGTTTCTTGTTAACTTTATTAAGTTGTGTTATATTTGTTAGCAAAGTAGTTCGACGTTTAATGGCCCTAAAAAGAACTGGTGAGCTAAACTCTTTCTTACATAAAGTTTCCAGCAAACGTGACTGCCTGGATACCTCAAGGTTATCTTCTTTGGCCTGCTGTTGTAGTACCAGACTGATCGGGAGGACAACTACAAAGTTTGAAGCATTGGAGTTAGTTGATAAGCTCTTTGCCTATACCTCCTGATGTTACCAACTATAAACTTTAAGTCTTTTTTTTTATTGACCATAAAAAGTCCTTGAATATCAGTTACTCACGATAGTGCAACATATAGTTATTTTATCGCAAGAGAAATATAGTATTTATAAACAATTCAATTAAACGTAGCGCCCTGAGATTTATTAAGTGCCATTGCACATCCGCAAACTAGTGGAAAATGACTTCTATTTGCCACAATAGTTTTATTACTATTCGTTGAAGCTAAAGACGATTTTCTTTTTATAGGAACACCTCATTTTCGAATATTATTAGCAATAGTATAAGCACCTGCTTTTCTCCGTACTTTTTGTACTGTTTTTTATCTCGAAACTGTTACCATACTCTGGTGATCTTTTCTCCATCATTTTACTCTAAGTGAACTAAAGTTTTACTAGCTCCATTAGCTGAACCATCAGCTACGTCATTATTATCTGTAAGAATATAAGGTATTTTCTTTATTAAAGTTACTTATATGGCGTTTCTCCTGTATCAATTGTAGACATTTTATGAAGTGTCCGTCTAAAAATAGTTCTCGCTTATTGTTGTGACATCCAATGAGTACGTCATAAACTGTTAATATTACTTTGTCTTTACACGTTTGTATGAGATGACTACTTTAATAAGAACCACAATTATGGTCACAAAATAAACGAATTCTGTGAGAACAAAGCCTGTCAGTATCTTCATTTGTAAAAAATCTTGGTTCATCCAGTTAAATACCATCATCACTGAGAACGTCATCACTCCCTTCTTTAGTGAGTGGCAAAGAAAATTGCTCATTGGCTTGTCTCATTACTTAAGTTAATTTATAATATTTTAATTTATACCATAGAACTGGTCCGATTGTATGTTGCTTTGGCTGTTTGTATCTAGCGATAACTCGAACTAGAGGTAATTGACACAAGTCACTGATCAAAATTATGTCTAGCCCACAGAAATAAGTATCTAAGTTACTTGTTATTTTCTCTAATCTATCGTCAATCTGAGTTAATAGTTCGGTTTCAATCATAATGGCCTTGCCGAAAATAAGTACTTCAACGTATTTAAATAATATTCTGTAATGTTAGGCAACTTCTGTTGTTAGGGAGAGTAGTTTTTATATAGAAATTTCTAATGCTTTATGAACAGTTGCACCATCAATGGCAACATGAGCTTTTCCTATTGTTGCACCTGCGACACATGCATTACAGTAATCATCTATGTCACCAAATTGATCGTATATTTTCATAATCAATTTAATAGCAAAGGTCTTTCTACAACCAATGGATCCAGTAAAAAATATTTGTAAAAATGAATTATTAGCTATCAAAACATGATTGGCAACTTGGATTAATACATTTTTCTATATTTCATTAGCATGTCTTATTAATTCACAAAAGGTATAAAGTTTCATTATGTTTTCTTTTTTTTTACGATGATACCTAATTTATTCAAAGCAATATTCTTAAGTCTGCATTTGAATTATTGTAGAATTTTTGAAGAGGATTAGAAGCTTAGAAGCTGGGATGATCCCCGCTATGTCCATTACGTCATCTTTATTGAGATCCTTATTTTCCCAACTCATCTTGATACATATCTCCACTGTTTTACCAATATCTAACTTCGATATAATTCTTTCCGCTTATTTAGAACCAGACTCTAATTTTCGTTGTGGATTTCAATCAATTTCAATCGATGCAAAACATCATTATCCTCATTTCGAAGTAATAAATACAAAATGAGCATTTTTCTTTTACAATAATTATGAAGATTATTACTCATGTCGTAATTTCTTCATCTGATAAACTCATAGTTCTTTTTTTCTAATGTTTTGTCCTCTTTTATTTTTCTTGTATTTTAAAATGAATTGTGCAAGTGCAATGGCATTCTATTCATCAGTTTTTTTTTCATACTTGATGAAAAAAATCTTCTTTCCAAATGTCAGTTGAATCAGAGTCGAGTTCATTAGATTGAAAGTTTTTCTAATTTTTTGTCGCTCGATGGACCAAACAATGTTAATATAAACAATAGAAACCGAACATTCAGACATAGGCTTTCGTAATTAATATCAAGCTACTTATTGACTTGTCATTTCAATACCGTTTTATTTATCAACACTCGGTTTTTGAGTAATTTCAACAATATTAAACTCTCGATTTCCATTCATAACTTTCGTAACTTCTCGAAGCAAATGACTAATGCCCCTGTTCATTTTATTGACATATTTTATAACGTCAGCAGCACAGGAGTATTCTTCAAGAATACTTAAAAAATCCGTATTTGATCTCATAATGCTGCAAACAAAAGGATGCCAATTTTATGCCACTTTTTAGATGGTCATCGCTTTAAAAAAATCTTTGCTCTTTTAATTTGGAATATTGGGTATCATACTCTGTAAATCTCGCTTCTTCTTTCTTCATAGAAATTAATGTAATAGTTTGTCGAGAAGATATAAGTGGTGTGTCAAGTCTGCATTTCTGTGGTCTATTAGCAATAACTTTTTTGTTTTAAGTAAAAGTTTGTTGATGTTCTTGAAACGCCATATTTCTACAATAGAAGGTTTTGAGTGAGAGACAGAGATTTAAGAGTCGATCATACTGATAGTTTAAGCTTGATTACCGTGACTGAAACAATTTCTTGGAGCATTGTCCATCCAAAGTTGACTGTATTTAATAGTTTAATCAAAGTTTAATCAATCTTTTACGAACCAATTTATAAACGTAGTTAGATTTGAGTATTAATTTGCTATTAATGTCTACGTAAGAGCAGTATTCGTTATTAACATTTCTAAGTAAAAAAGTTACCATAGTGTTAACAGACACGGGAGTGCTTATAACTTAAGCGAAAATGCCATACTGCCCTTCTACGTGACGTATTTGCATAAACGGTATCCTAGGAAAAATTAATCTTCTTGATACAAAGTCAAATTTCGGTAATGTCTGTGGTGTTTCTGGGTATTGGAAACCATTATAAACAGCCACAGAAGGTATTTTTTTTATTGAAAGATGATTTGTAGGTAGAACATTAATAAATATATCCAACAAAGGTGAAATTCTGTAAAAATTATAAATATTTATTTAACAAACAATAATAGAGAGAAATTAATTTAAAAATTTATAAAAAAAAGAAATTTAAACTATATTTTGTTAAATTTCAGTATAACAAGCTGAAGCAATTTTCGAAAATCCTTGAAACCATAAACTATTTCACACAAAGCATGGAAAATTAAAAAGTTTCATTGTGAAATTTTTATAGAATTGTTGCATTGCTATGTCATTTCTACGACTGATAGCATTTTCATCTAAATGTAGAAAATCATCTTCAAAGTCATTGTGTGAAATATCTCTAAAATAGTTTTTATTTATATGAATTTCATTGCTGTATGGAATCATTGTCGTACAATCTCAATGGATTTTATAAAAAGTATCGTTATTCATCATCACTTCCTGAAAAATCTCAATCTTCTTTTTAAGTTAATACATGTTTTTTTCTTATCCTAAAAAACGTAATTGATTATATGATTGTATACAATAGTTGATCGATAGTAAGTCTGTTTAAAGATGTCCGATTTGAATTAAATAAAAAAAGCTAAATAAAACGATATTAA